CATTTGTTTATATTTATTAAAAATAGTTGTCATGTGTTTATATAGCTCCTTTGATCCAGAAAAATCCCCAAACACTTTGTAAGTTATGCTTAAAAGAGTCACTTCCTCCGCCCTAAACAGAAACTGTGTTGGGACTGAGGCATGGCAGCAGATTAAAAATACATAGAAATATCACCATAATTCTGTTGGTCCTCACCCCCTCAGAGCACCATCGGTTTTCCATGAGCTTCAGAACAGTTACTGAGACCATAAAGGCAATTTGGACTTTGGGGGCAAAAAGTAGTGAAAAGACCATCTTCCTGGAGATTGCATATTTTTCATGCACTTTCTTCTGCTTTGCAAATAAAGAAGCAGTGGTACCTACTGCACAAAGCATAGGGCTGGCCATATCTCAGCTAAACCTACTATTTCCAGTTATCGGCATCTCATTCCAGAGAAGACAGTGATCAACTGGGCAGAGCCAGGGGAGAGCAGAAGAAGGGACAAAGGAAAAGCACCTGAGGACTTGCAAAGAAAGGCAGAGGGAATAGTTTGTTTAAAAGAGAGGAGACTGAGGTGAAACATGGTTAAGTCTTCAAAACACCTGAAAGGCTGCTGAGAAGAGGAAAGGAATAAACCTGTCCATGGGGACAGCAGAAGTCACGAACTTGCACTGTAGCAAGGGAGATTTGGTGAAACATTAGGCAGTAATTCTGGATGTAAGGAATGGTGAAATGCTGGAATAGATGTCTGCAGAGACTCTGGAATTGCTATCATTGTAGGGGTTTTTTTGAGACTGGATTAGACATAAATGTCAGGAGGGGTTTAGATCTTGTTCCTGTCTTTGGGGCAGATGGGCCAGAAAGTCCCTCCTGGTCCTATCTTCTGTCATTCTGCTGTTGTGTCACATGTGGTCAGATGAGCCCTGCTTTATATGGATAAACCAAGTTGTGCTAAAAATTAGTTTGTGAGCTCCTTGCAAAGTCCTCACAAGCGAAACCAGAACAGAAATTCCCCCAAAGGGTTGCATGTGTGTTTGTTTTATTTTTCAATTTTAAAATGCTCCCAAATCATCAAGGTGCTTCAGCATGCCCCCAGCTTAGAGGACTTGAATCGTGTAATTGGCTTCAGTAGAGTCTGTTCACAAAGCCTATGCCTGAGGCCCCATTTTGGGGGAAAGTTTTACACATTCTAATGATGGTAAGACAATGTATGACTAATGCACTGATTTGAAAACCTGCCCTATTATCTGATCAAAAGTACAAGCTCATGAATATGATACTGCAGGTCATTTGGCTAAAAGGTACCTGGAGTCTTCCAAATTTTTAAAACAATCCCATGCACAGAAGCAAAAAAGGGAGGTATGAACAGTGGAACCAGTGATTGCCTGTTCACCACAGATCATGTGGAATGTTTTATTAAAGATCTTTTTATCATACACAAAAGACTCAAATAGAGAATATCCTGGGCTGGCAAGAGAAGGCGTGATAATAATTTAGATTATTATCCCTCAGATCTGTGATTCATTTTTATTATTCTCTATGTTCATTTCAGGAATGATCAAAACCTCCCTGAGGATAATGGAAGGTTTCCAGTTGAGTTCAGGGCAGTGTGCTGTTGCTTTCATCCTCAGGGAAGGTCTGAGGATCAGTGAGATCCGATGTGCATATGCAAGCATGCTCAGAGGGAGTTTGGAGAAGTCATCTCCTGACACCAGGGCCACCTCTAGGATTAGGCTGTAATCTAACCTGGCTGTCTAGAGCCTCTCTGTAAACCCTAGGAAGAGAAATACCCCGAGCAAAAGTACCCCTTAGAGACCTGCACTGCAATGAGGTGGACCGCTTTCTGGAGGTTTCTCTCCCCATTCGCTACAGAAACAGCCTAGGTACAAACTTGGACCAGAGGTTCTACAAGGAGTTTTGTAGCATTTGGTAAAAGGGATCATTCTCTTCAAATATCTCTAAACCACCTTGGCAGTCAGCTAGAAGTAGAGTTGCATTTAAGAAAATGTCTTATGTGGATAAACTGTGATTCATTTGCTATTAGCATGCTTCGTGCATGTTAATGGAAACACACTGTTGTTCTCTTGTAAAGCACTTAAGGATTTTTTTAAAAACAAACCCCACCTAACAGTATTTGTCTTAACATGGAAGCCTTTATAGAAATCTAATGTCTTGAAAACAGAAAATGACCTCGTTGATTGAGTAGAACAGTAGTTAAAAACTCTCAGGTCTTTTGACAGGAAACCCTGGGATTTTAAGTAAACTACAGGGGTTTTTTCCCCAAAAATTACCTGTTTTCAAGGGAGAAAAAAATCAACAAAAAAACAACAAAACACTTCTGTATAATATAATACAATATTTTATATATAGATATAAAATGGAAAAATTCTACAGAAGTGTTTTGTTGGGTTTTTGTTTATTTTTTTCTCCCTTGAAAACAGATATTTTGGGGGGGATTATAATGGAAACATTATACAGAAATGTAAGATGTTGATTTAAGGCTGCTTTAGGAATCCCTTAGACATAGTTGGCTGATGAATGGGCTCGTGATTCTTTTACAAGTTCCCTGGTCAGCCTGTGTCCCCCATCGGACATCTCACACAATACATCCCTGAGGTGCAGAAAGACAGTTAGCGCAAGGGATATTTTAATCTCATTGGAGGACCAAGCCCATAGAATGTGTCAGGAGCAGGATACACCCAAGCTGCAAGTCTGAATGGCATTTTGGCAATGTTTTTTCAATTGAAATTGAAAACCAGATCCTCCTTGCAGTTTAAAATTTAATTTAGGGCTAAACTGTGTAGTTCTGTAAAGTGACAAACAGTAATCAAAAGATGAGTACAAGCACCTACCCATGCTTACCTTAGGGAAAACTGGTACAGGGGAAAAAAAAAAAATAAAAAAAATTGTGACCCCCACTGTCAGTGTTGCCGGATCTGTGCACCACAGGATCACTCAACAGGATAAATGAGATCTGGATCAGAAGTTGGAGCATGACTGCATTTCTGTTGAATTACTCAGAGTGTGTAGTACCTAGTTTTGTTAGAAGTATGCTTTAATAATGCTTTGTGTTTGCTGTGGGAAGGCCGTTCATACTTGATGTTACGTATATTACAGGAACTTGGATACACAATGCCTAATCTGATATCATTCTTGCCAGCACTAAATTAACCACTCAGAAAAGCTGGACAAATTTGAAACAGCAGCATTAGATTAGCTTATCCCAGATGAAGTCTTTGTTTTAAGTGAGTGCAGCAGTTTTGATGCAATATAGCAGAAGCTCTGAAGCTATGTGTCTTGTATCATCAGTTCAAGACATAAACCAACCACTCACCATGGGAATTTATATAAGAGCTTTCTCTGGCAAGGCTTGATTTCAGAATTCTCTATTTACAGCAGTTTGTTCCTCCGGAACAAGCACTGCTTCTCACTGACAAAGTCCTAATGCTGATTAGATGGATTATCTGCTCCCATGAAGCAATTCTTTAATTCAAGACTGCCTTTTCTTTTTGCTCTAATTCATTGCACATTAGTTAAGATCACTTCTAGCTACAGAACAGCTATCCCATGCAGAAGATGTGGTGACAATATAAAGGATGAGGGAAGAAATGAAATTAATTATCCCCAAACCCGGGGTGAAGTGTAATGTGCAGTGATTGTCTGTTGGATTTGATGTTGACCCACGTGTGTGTTTACCAGTGCGCTCTTCTAGGTGAACTCTGATGTTCTCACAGTTTGTGATTGACTCAATACATTTGAAGCATCTGAGCTAAAAGCTATCGTCATATTGCTTAGACAGAAAAAGACAAAAGTCTTCAGTGCTACTAAATTCTATTTCTGTGCATGAATCTGGAGTAAGGTATTGTTCCTTTTATCTGATATTATGCAAGATGCAGCCTTTTTCTTCCAATGTGAGGATCTCAGATACTGTAGCTAAATATTTATAGGACTGCATAGCTGCTTACCCCATAAAAAATTATTTGACAGTCATTTTCAGTGCCTCCAAATCCCCTTAATGGAAGATTTAGAAAGTAACACCAAGAATCTCAGATTCTCTGCAGCAGACAAGTGTCACATATTGTTTTCGGGGGAACTTGCTCCACAGCAGAATGCCTTGTTTTTAAGTCCAGAATCCACCTTGCACAATTTGTATGCTTGGTTGTGCTGCTCTGTGACAACTGGTGGATTATGGATCATCCAATAATAGATACAATGGAAGCATTTTATGAAATAGAGATTACAACTTAAAACTTCCAAATCAATTGTAAATGGACCTTTTTGACCTTCAGTGTCATGGGAATCATGATGAATTCCAGCCTGCAAATTCAAATCAAAGTGCAAACTCAAGCTACAATCAGTAAGCAATCACACCACTATTGGGGCAAATCCACAGACAGGGAAACCTCACACTGAGTCTGGTTTTGGCATCGTGATTTGATCCAAAATGGCTTAGAGCTAGGAGAAGAAACGAAGCTGCTTGGTCTCCTGTGCTCAAGGTTATCAGTTGTGTAAGGGGATCCTAAGAAATTCTTTATGGCTTGTGAAACAGGGGAAGGATGTGTTTTGTGGCCCCTCCTGGACTTAGTGTCCAGTCCAGCGCAAGAAAGACATGTCTCTGAGACATGACAAGTTTTGAGACCTTTGGTGGCTAGACGGTACCTAAGAACGTAAGAATGAGGTCATCCTGGGTTAGCACAAAGATACACCTGTCACAGTCTCTGATGCTGGCCAATAATGGATGCTTAAATAATGAGTGCAGTAAGTTAGGTATGTCAAGAGTGATCCCTCCTTTGGCTATATTCTGTCAGCAGCCAGAAGCTGAGGGACATCCTGAGTCAGAAGTGTTTCCAGATCATCACACTTACCAGCCCCCGGGGCTCTCCTGCATGTCTAATGCCTGCAAGCAGTAATAATAGTTGTGATTGTCATTGTTGTTGTCACTACCATGTAGAATGACAGATCATGGATTAGAGATAAGGGTTCTTCTGTTTAATTTCCTTCTCTTGTGTTTTCTTTTAGCACCACCACATTGCCTTCCTATATCAGGATAACCAATGGCTACATCACAGTCAAACCTCCCATTTGGATCTCAAACCGGCTGGATCAGAGACCGCGTTCAGATCGCCCATCCCAGCCTCAGCCTACAAGCTCAGCTTCAGCCAGCCTTTTATGGCCATCAATAACTTCTCCTCTCTGTGTGGCCATAGCTTCTTTTCTCCTGAATCTACTTCAGCCTTCCTGACCACATTAGTATTACGTGCAATCCCTTGGAATAGAGAAGAGAGATAATTTATGAATGAATTGGAGGTTAAGACAACAGCAGTTACAAGCTGGACCTTCTCAGTGACTCAGTAGTGCCTTCTAGCTGATTTTGTCTCTTTGCCCGGATACATTTTGAAACTCTAAAGCTTTATTGTAACACTGACTTACATCTTCTTTTTGTAGAAGGATCTTTATTTCCCATAGTGCTATGGGGTTTTGTAAAATATACATGTTCATGTAAAGAAAAAAAAAGAAAAAGAAAAAATGTATTTATTCGACTGGTAAACTTATTTTTCTTGTTGTATATGTTAATAACATCCCTATTAATCAGTAGCGATGGTGAAACAGATAAATTAATATTTTCTATATTTGTTTTCTAACTGACAACTCTGCAAATGTCTGAACTGACACCAAATGAATGCCTTCTTTGTTTCTTTAACCATTACTTTTTACAGCAACTGTCCAATAAGTACCTTTCTGCTGAACGTCTTTATTTTACTTTTTTTTATTTCATTAGCATAGCTTACACTGAATAAAGCAGATCCTTCTCTGTGGCCTATGCCCATTAGAAAAATAGGTGCATTCTTAACTCATTAGCTGCTACAACCTAAAATACCTGTTATTTTTATACGACTTAGTAAGTCATTAGTCAAGAAACCCCTCTAAGTTCCCCTGTTGTCTTTAAATAAACTATTTAACTTCTCTGGAAATTACCAATTTCCCTCTTTGCCCTGGGATTAATTAATTAGCTAACACAAATTAAGACACCTTTTTCTTAATAAAAAATTGCTTTTAAAGTCTGGAATAATCCCACTGGAATTATTTTCTTCTCTCCCTCATTTTATATAAACACAAGCCTACAACTTTTCCCAGTGTAAATGAGAACAGAACTTGGTCTGTCTATAAGGTATAAAGATGTAGTAGCCTGTTAATCTATAGATCTTTGTACCAGTTGTATTAATGCAGATGGACAACCTGGAGGGCAAAAAAAAGGTCTACAAATTCTTCTTCATCTTGCTATTATGATACTTAGAGCTGATATCTCCATGCTGAATTATGACTTGTCCAAAATCCGTTCAAGACCGCAGGAACCAAATTAACCTGTGTCATGGACCCATACAGAACGTTCCTCCATTTGTAGACAGTGGTACATCTGTTGACTTAGACGGAAAAGTTATGACACCTTACACTATCCAAAAAATTTGCTCCCTCTCTAAGCAGCTACTTTTGATTAATGTGATGAACAGCATCAATGGGAAAAAAGCCATGTCAATCTTAAAAACTATTATGTTTAATAAGGCATGTTGATTTTTTTTCCCCAACAAAACATGATGGAAAATCCCTTTGGATACAAGAGTTTCAACCAGAAAATTAATTTTGGTTGAAATAATAGTGTTTTTCTTTCTAAGACATCTACAAACCAAAAATCCAAACTTTGTGATGAATATATCTTAGTTAAAAAAAAAAGACTTGAAGAACAGAAAAATAGAATGCAAACTTTTCTTTACAAAAAAACAGTGCTTTTTCAACTTGAAAAAATATCGTATGATAATGATTATAATAATACTGATAAAAGTTTGACTGAAAACAGTCATCTCAGTTTCCCACCAGCCCGGCAGCCTGGTCTCCAGGACTGCAGTTGATTCCATGCAATCTTCAAGTCTCTGCAGTGAGAGATAGTTTAGAATTCACAGTTTGTTTGTCATCATACCAGTAATTCAGGAAAGTAGGTTAGAAAATAATTAGGCTACAAAACGCACATGGATTTATTTGAACCTGTGATGAAGTACTGAGTTTCTCCTCTCCATCATGCATCCCAACCCATTGCCTTGCAAAGGCCAGGGAGAAAGCAGAGAACTTCTTTTTGACTTACTGCACACCATGACCTCCAGCCTTTGTGCTGTTTTTGACAGAAGGTTGTGTAGGTTTTGTGGTCAGTTTAAGTGGGTACAGCAGACAGCACTATAAGCTACCCCTATTTTTTTCAAGCACAACAGTTGATAAGGCTGAATGGAAAACTTTGAGCTTTGCTCCAAATGTGAGCTTCAAGCATGCCCTCTGCATACTTTTATATTGTGTATTTTGGCTAGCAGAAGATTAGAGATGTTAGTTTTGGACAGAAGCCATTCACCTTGCATAATATTTATTGCATGGGGCTGGATATTGGAAACATATTTTGAGAACTTTCATTTTGGTTTTATTTGAGCTATTACCCTAGAAATGCCTTCATTTGAATATGATGGCTTAACAGACCTTCAAATTCAACCTTAATGCATTTAAAAAGATTATTGGTTCTCCCACTATATTCAAGACAGATCAGAACGGAATTATAATGTCTTATTTACAAAAATGGAACTGGAAATAAGGTAGGCAAATCTTAAGGGTGATGATAAGTTACACAGTAAAAGTGAACAGCCAATGAACCAAAACCCATTGAATTTTATTGTAATCTGATAGAATCCAGAAATGATTCTGTGATGCTATCCCAGAAATAATTCCAGGTGTTGGAAAACTTACAGTATAAATAGACAAGACCACATAAAGATAAGGGAGAGAGAAAAGAGCAGAAAACAGAAACAACTTGTCCAAGACCATAAGGAAACCTACCAACAGGACCAAGACTAGAAATTATAGTTCTATAGTTTCCCAACCTGTGGCTTTCTCCGTAAGCCTCTGGGGCTTTTTTTAATATTAGGAGCACACAGATATCTCCACACTCACAGCTGTCATCATACCGCACAGAATAGTCACTCTGTTTGTCACTGATGAGGTTTGGTTTTTTTCTGAGTCACTCCTCCACCGGAAAATAGTATTCAATATTCAGTAGCTCAGATATCATGATATCTTTGGATATCACAGTATATAAATAGGTTGGACATCAAAGTATGTTTTAACGTATTTGCATTTCCTGGCATTTTGTCCATAATTCTGTGAAACGAATGAATGCTACTGGAGCTCACCGAATTTCCCTTGCACTGGTGCCCTGCAGTTGTCATACTGCAATGCAGGTGTCAAAGGAGGGTGTCCCCTGGCTTTGGGGTCCTCACACCCAACTTCTGCTGCCTAAGAGCATCTAGCTCACTCGGTCATCTGAGCTTTCTCTACTTAAGAGAGAAGACATGACTTACAGTAAATATAAGATTAAAAGTAGCTTCCTGTAGATCCTAGCTCAGGAACCCCACGTGAATGGCTTCAGCACAGTTCTCTAAACAAATGTTTATTTTATTCTGTTGTCTTACCCTATAGTACGACTTAGGATAACTTTTTTCAATACATGACAGGTAAGCATAGCAATACTGGAAAATGAGACTCTCACTGTGATTGATAAAATGGATTATTTATTAATCAGCTACAGCAGCCCAGTATCGATTAAAGTACACTGATACTGGTTAGCACAGATCTATGCACATCCATTGCAATGGATCATGATTCACTGTGAGTTTAAAAAGTGTGCATCAGATTTGATACATGCTCTTGAAGTAACACTGGCTACCAACTTCATGGGACTTCAGTTTTCTCTGTGGGTTCTGAGAAAACTAGGAACTGACTGTTGTCTTTCTTCCAAAGGAAAGCTTCCCATGTAATCACAAGATTCCAAGAGCAGGCTATTTAACACAAATATCCATTCCTGCTATATATATAATCCCAAATGCCAGTGATACTATTTACCTCTGAGACACAATCAAGAGAGTCATGCAATGTCTAGCAATCAAGGACATGATTTTGGATGAGTCCAAAGCTGAATGTTTGTGTGATTCATCTTTTCAACTGACACCACTGATTCACATTATATGTAAAACTGTAACATTATAAACAAATGCAAATTATCTGCCAAGCTCTTGCCCAGGTGGAACAAATATCCCATACCACCAGCAACAGATCTAACTTCCACTCTTTCATTGTTTTAATGCTTTTGTTGCCTATGTTTAACTATGGACGCTATATTAACATGCATTGCCACTTGGAGAACCAGTTAGTAAGCTGGAACAGAGGGTATTTTATATTTTATGACTGATGTAGTTTCTCTGCAATCCCTCCAGCTGTTGAATAATGCAATACCTCTTCTGGCAATAAATGATGAACATGATTTATGATAACTATGCTTTATACAGTGTCAAAATCTCCTTTGTTGAACTTCCCTTCCCATTCCTTCAAGCTCCACTGTAATTTAGGAACACCCAAGGTACAGAATTGTGTATTTATCTAAGTTCTTCAATATACAATTGTGGAGAGAGAGAGATGGAAAGAGGGAGAGCTTAATCTATGTTTAGTGCATTGATTAGCCAAATGATATGACCCAGTCATCACCATATACCACCGTTAGGGAGGAATTTCCCATCATGTATTTATGTTTTAGAGAAACTAAAGTGCCAAAGTTATTATCTCAGCATAAATGTTATCATTCCAAACTTTGCTTAGCACTGTATTTCTATACTATAGGGAAAAAATTATATGGGCTTGTCATATCTCTGAAGTGATCAATGTTCCATGGAGTCTGCTAGAGTTCAAGCTTCAACTTAAACTTGTTTCAGTTTAACTGAAGCAGAAAGATAATTGCCTAATTTTGACATCGTAGGGTGTACACGTGTGTGTGTGTGTGTGCGCACGCGCGCACGCTCGCACATGCATGCATATCTGTGTGCATGTGTTTTGTCCCAACCCAAACGCAACCTTTCCTGTGACTAGCTTTTCAGGAGGCACCGTAATCTAGCTAAAGGCAGAGAAATCTTTCCAATAAGTAATCAATACTTCTTCTACAGGAACGATTAACCAGCCTGCAGATGCTGCAGAGTCATGCTCACACTGAATTTTAAATTGCATGTTTGTCAGTTTTCAATTCAAATGTATTTCAAATATTTTTGCCTGTTCCGCCTCCTGCTTTTGTGAACTGTTTTAAAGAGTGTGATAAAAAGATGCTTTCTAATATTATTTTGTCAAAATATTTTTGTAGCATAATATATTAATAAAATGTTATTATAAATCTATAGCACAAGAATCTTGTATGTCTAGGTTCTTTCCTTTGCAGTAAAAGCTAGGGAATCATTGAAAAAAAGGGAACGTTCAGTTTGTAGAGCTTAAGCACGCTGCTTCTCTTTTGCCCAAGACTGTCATGGGCTGAAGGAAATCATACTCTGGGGAAGGCTCCTCCTAAAATGATGTGGTTTTGTCAAGTCCATTCCTGCAGAGATGTGGAGAATCTCTCTATGAACCCTTTTGGTGAGAAGTTCCTGCCCCTGGTGTATAACGAGTCTGGAGCAGCCTCCGATCCGTGTCACTTGAGAAAAGCCACTGGGTTAACCTCATGGCATGTTTGGAGTGGGGCTTGAGCAGAGGGAAAGGCTCCGAATGGCAGGTACAGGACCTGGGAGCTGTGCTTGCCTCCACCATTTCAAAGGCTCCGTGGGAAAGCACAAAAAAACCCCACAAAGGCCTTTTTGGGATTCAGGGAGGGTGGGGGAATGCAGGAGCAGGGATCTTAAAGGACATTGACCTTAATTCTGGGGCAGATCTCCGGTCTATGGATGAGCCTGAGGCAGAGGGAGAGGTTTGGGGTGTTTTATTCTTACATTTGCCCATTTGCACACTGCCCAGGGTAACGTGTGGTGATTCCCACAGCCTTTGGGCCAGAGACACGTGGGAGCACAGCTGGGAGATGGAGCGGGATGAGCACGTGGGCATCCAGAACGCACACCACAGGGCTAAGGACAGCGGTTTTGCTAATGTGGGAAGGCTTAACACCAGTGTCCCACGCTGTGCCAGCAGCGGATCCACCTGCCCTTCCCCAGCAGCAAGGGACGGG